AAAGTCCTATTTCAGTAATACCTTAGCAATAGCCAACACTTTAAAAATATGCAATATTTTCATTCTCACTCAGTGAACATACTTTATAATTTCTATGATGACTTCTGCCTTTTTGATTGATGAGTTTGAAATATGCTACTTCTGTGTGCTTCTGATCCTATAAATAATATCTATTGAAATGAACTCTAGGAGATGGAAACAAGTTTGTTCTTTGTTGCTGTTTTTCTTTTTCTCTTGTATTTTGTTTAGCTGTCTTTGGAAGAGTAAGAGAGAGGCACAGAAACTGAGAGACTTAAGGTGAACAAGTGCAGAGGTGGTACTCACTAGATACTGCATAACTTGTGGGTGGGGAGGAGAGGGGAAAGTACTTGAGAGGAAAGGGGTGACTTTGTCCAAAAAGAAATGTACTCATTACCTGACTTATGTAACTGTAACTCCTCTGTACATCACCTTTATAAAAAAAAATAAAAGATTTAAAAAAGAAATAAGCTTCTTAATTTCTAAACATAAGCAATGGTTGAAATTATCTTGTATTTTGAGTTTACATGTACTACATTTAGAGGTTTCTTAAAAGTTCCTGATGAACTCTTTTGGTAAATACTTTTTTGAAAACAAGTACAAGCTACTGTTCTGGGAAAGATCATTAGTCAAGTTTATTCATGACTGTTGGAATCCTGTGTATCTTACTGAATTTTCTGTATGCTTGTTTTACTGATTATAGAAAGATGTGCTTTAAATCTCCCACTATAATTTAGACTTGTCTATTTTTTCATTATCGTTCTCTTCTATTTCTTGTATTTAAGGACTGGTGTTTTCTTACAAATTTGGAATTGTTCTTTTTTGGCTAATCAGACCCCTTTCACGATGAAATACCCCCTTTGTCTCTGTGATGAGTTTTCCTTCATATTGAAATTCTTTCTGCCACCTTTTTGTGACTATTAGCATGGCATTTCCCCTCTGCGAGCCAGCGGAGGGCTTTCAACCATTTAGTGTGTTTCCTATGTCTCTCGCAAATTGCAATGGGAATGGATCTTAGGCAACCCGACAACTTTTGTATTTTAACACACCCGGTCCACTTGCATTTATAGAATCAGAAGACATTTGGGTTTACCATGGTTTTTTTCCTTTCTTTCTTTCTCTCCTCTCTCCTCCCTCTCCCTCCCCCCTCCCTTCTTGCTTCCTCCTGGATTGTTTGGTTTTCTCATTCTATTTTCTCCAGTAATAGTTTCCATTCATGGAGTGTTTACCGAGGCTGGCAACACGGACCTTCAACTCCACATTCTTCTTCCCTCCGGAAGAAGACCTTGGAACACTTGAACAACACTCACCCCCGTTTTACGACCCACATTCGGGCAACTTTTTTTTTTTTTTACCTACAAGACGTGGTTTCATTTTCAAACCCTCAATTGTCTCCTTAGTTCCTCCTTCCTAAATCCACTCCTGGGGCTGGAATTCCCCTCGGGAGGGGAAAATTCCTAGAGTCTGTGTTTGCAAACATCTTTATTCATCCTCCCTCTCGGAAGGTATTTAGTTCTAGGATGGAGGGTATTTTCTTTCCATCTATTGCTCTTGATTACAAAAAAAATATCTAGCATTCTTTTCCTGTGTGTCAAACAATCGTTTGGATTTTATCCGGAAGAAATTGGGGTGCTTGGGGCGGGGGTGAGGATGGGAAGGGATGGGAAGGGGAAACAAAGGAGGAAGCTACAATGCTTGATAAGAAATGTACTCATTATCTTGCCCATGTAATTGTAACCCCTCTGTACAGTATTTTCACAATAAAAAAATTAAAAAAAAAAGAAATCGGGGTGCTACCCAGTATGGTCCCCATCTTAAAACTGTTTTCAAACCTATATATTTTGCCGATGCAACCCAGGACCTGTGCGTGCCAGGCAGGCGCCCCCCCCCCGCACCCCAAGGCCCAGGGCCTGTGCGTGCCAGGCAGGCGCCCCCCCCCAGCCCCAGTCCCCAGGGCCTGTGCGTGCCAGGCAGGCGCCCCCCCCGCACCCCAAGGCCCAGGGCCTGTGCGTGCCAGGCAGGCGCCCCCCCCCCAGCCCCAGTCCCCACGGCTGCACCCTCGAGCATCCTCAGGCGACCTTGGGCCGGGTCGGCGGGGGAGAAGGCGGGATCGGGACTTGGTGGGCTGGGTGTGGAGCCCTGGGGTCGCTCAGGGTCTCCGCCCGAGGGAAGCCGCAGACGGACGGGGCCGGGATCCTGGTGAGGATGCGTGGAGGCGCGGCAGAGGAAAGGAAAAGGAGGAAGGTGAGGAGGGGTTCTCGGACCCCAGACCCCTCATTCCACACATCAGAACCCCTGTGGGGCGGAGCGCGTCCGCCGCACCGGCCCAGAGTGCGCGGGCGGCGAAGGACGGCCCGCCCGGGCCCAGCGCAGCTGGCCAAGGTCGCACGCCGGAGTTCTGATCTCCGGTCCCCGCAACGCCCGGACCACCGCGGTGCGGCAGGCTCCGCGGTCCCCGCCCTCCCGCAGCCCGGCCCGGCCCGCTCCGCTGGAGGCTGGACGGACGGTGATGCACTTGACCTCCCCGCCCCTGCCCGGTTGCTGTCTCCCGGCCCGGTGTCGGTCCTCGAAAGGACTGAGGGCCGGAGCCTCGCTCTTAAAGATCACGTCCTGGCTAGGAATCGGGCAGCGGGAGGAAGCGCGTGGTCCGCCGCACCGCACCAAATAAGTCCCGCCGGGCCGAGGACCGAGAAACCCGGCCGGCAGCGCAGCGCGCCTCCGAATCCGCCGGACGGCTTGGGGGCGTGGCTCCGGCGCGGGGG